AAAGGCAAATTCAAGCTGGGTTCAATCCATGGATTACAAAGAACACTTAGAAAGCAAATTGGAATTCTTTAGACACAGTAATTCAAAGTTTCTGTTCTTTCTCTTTTTGAAGCAGAGTTTGATGGCTTAAAGGATTCAAATATATGCTTAAAGCATTCAGATCTCAAATATTTTTTAAAAGACCTAATTGAAATAGTTGACTAGTTAAAAAAAATTAAACAGGTAAGCATCCTCCAGTAATGTATTCTGCAAAGCCCTTAGAAGACTAGTAAATATAAAACTGGAGTAAAATTATTTATTTTGGACTCCCATCTTTTAGTGACTTTGTTTTCTGAAGAAGCTCAAATTAAATATGAGAATGCCTTGTCACCCTAAGTATAATAAATCCAGTGGTTAGTTGCAATTTTAAGACTGTTTTCACAGAGTTGATATAAAGGAAAACTCAAGGTGTATTAATTTCAAAAGAACTGTGTACACAGAAACCCAATGTAAGAGCCTAAAATCAGTAAAAGAAGTACCCAAACACACAGATAAACATTTTTGGCTTGCTTTTATTTTTCTTGAATACTAATATAAAACTCAGATTCTGTGTTTATTCCATAACAGATATGGTTTAAAAATGAATTGTTAACTTTGAAAAATACAAGTGAACAGAAAGAAAAACACAAAATTGATACCATTGAACAAAAATCTAACATTGTTCTTTTATATAAGAATGCTCACCTAGTAGTATCATTTCTTGATCACAGGTTACTCAAGATGCCCTTATAATGTTTGTTAAAGTAAATTGAATATAGCATTTATACATTACTCATTCTTGTAAGGTTACTATACCCATATCTCACTAAAGAGCCATTAATGGAAAAGAATAGGGAAGTAAAGACCTATGATTTAATTTTCTTTCTCCATATGCAACCCACTACAGCCAAGTTGGATTAAGGCTATGTTTATTTAAACCTCAGTCAAATTGGTTCTTTTCATAAACTGATAGGTAAAAATGAATTTCTCTTGGTGTTTCCATGGGTCATTCACCAAGCAATAACACCAACAGTAGTTACTGATCCCCTGGGAACAGCAGCTTAATTACACAGAAATTTAAAATAGAGAATAATGGTATAAATGCAAACATAGAGACTTGTCCTCTCTTTGGGTGGTTTATTATTACATTTAATACCTCAGATATTCTTTTCTGTTTGTGCAGATCTTAATTACTAAGTAGATCTGGTGAAATATAAATTATTGTATTATCACAAGTGATAAAATATATATGGTTATGAGCATGGCAGTCTGCAGGTGTAACATCCATAAAGCAAGATTAATAGTATCAAGCAATTAAACTGAAGCTATTTTTAAGGGGAAAAGGTTGAATACTACCCTTAAGTGTAACTTAAACTCTCACTAAATGTTTTTAACTGCAATAAAAGCATGTTAATTTTAGGAGTGACTTCTTTACAAGACCTCCTTTCTTAGATTAAGTTTTTCTTTCCAAGAATATAAAAGCTTACTAAAATAATTTCTATTACTAACTCATTCTGTAAAGAGATGCCTTTTTCCTTGGCTTTTAAGCTCAATGAAGAAAGCCTAAAATAGCACAGGAAATTTGTGTGTTGTGAATGTATAAGAGAACTAAATCCAACTGGGATAAAATGATTAAATTATTGATAAGGTCATTGTTGGTCCCAAAGCATTCCACTAGTTATATGCTGCTTCTTAAATATTTTGAGAATTTGGCCTTAATTTTCTTATAATTATATATAAAATAGAGATAGCATTTTACTTTAATATCCTCACACGTACAACTTATTAACAGTCTTTATATAAAAGAAACATGATAAATTTTTTTCTTACATGTTTTTGGTATTTTCTTATGTGTTTTTGGTATTTGCTACGCATCTAATGATAATTTGTTTTCTTATATGTTTTTGGTATTTTTTCTACCTCTGGATTATTATTGTGCCACCACTAACAAGATCAATGCCTGTACTTCCAAATTAGGTATCCCTTTGCTTCTTAGTAAAGGTGGCTTTACAGTGGGGTTAACAAGACTTCTGTAAATATATAAAGCACTTAGCAAAGTGTATGGAGGTCTTTACAAAGAACTTTCTAGATCTGTCTCTCTCTCACTTTCTGTTTCTGTCTTTCACATGCACTCACACACACAGAATTTGATCCTTGCCCTGGAATTTTTTTGCAGTGTACTTGGCAAGGTACTTCAAGAGTGAAGCAACATGAAAGATTTATAAAGCAGCTCATTGTAGATAACACATTAAATATAAAATATAATGGTAAAAGGATCAATGCAACAACAGGAGTCAATGATTATAAATATATATGCACCCAATATAGGAGCACCCAGATACATAAGACAAGATCTTAATGACTTATAAAGAGACTTGGACTCCCACATAATAATAGCGGGAGACTTTGACACCACATTGTTCATATTCGATGGATCAACGAGATAGAAAGCTAACAGGGACATCTATGATTAGATTAGTTCTATGATTAGAACTCAGACCTGGAACAAGTAAACTCAGTGAATATTTATAGAATTCTTCACCCCAGGTCCACAGAACATACATTTTTCTCAGTATCACATACCTATTTTGAAAGTGACCACATAATTGGAAGTAAATCACTCTTCAGCATTTGCATAGCATTTCACCACTTAAATGAAATATTGGTTCGCTGTTTGTTATTTTCTTCCCTTATTCCTTCCTGTCTCTGCTGTTAAGCACAATTATTGGCATAAAAGAGGTTTTTATTACCTATTTTTAGATTGCATTTCAGCCTGGGTAATAGAGCAAGACTCCTGTTCTCTCTCCCCCTTTCTCTTTCTCTTTCTATCTTTCTAAAAATAAATAAATAAATAAATAAAAGTTTTAAAGACATGCATTGTGTGTAGTTTTGGAGATATTAAATATGTGAACAATTTGACACAGAAAATAAAGATGTATCTTAATCAGTATAGATTACTAGATGTTTGCAATTAACCTTCCTGACTGCTGCAGGAAGGTTCCTGAAAATCACTGCCTGTGTGTAGCTTCAGAGTCAAGAAGGATGCAAGAGAAGTTTTGGGAATAAATGGGCACTTTGTTGTAGAAATAATGGGTATAGAAATTATTTATAAGAAATGGGCTACTTGTTTTTTTGTTATTCTTAAAGCACTATCTGTGATGAAATCTAAGATGGGATTGCTGATAAGAAAATGACAAGAATTTAAGCTGTAAGGAAAGGGGAAAGACTGTATTCTTTACTATAGTTGTGTATTAACCATCATCCATTTTCTTCACTGACAGATTTTTCTTGCAGTTGTGTCAGCCAAATAACTATAACCACATTCTAAATGTTTGAATGCAAACATTTGTATCCATTAAAAATCCTTTGAACAAGGGCCCAAAATGGTTTAGTTCATGTACTTTTTTGCTATGCCCATCTCTGGTTTCCCTGATACTCTTTGCAAGATTAGTTAATTCTTTATAATTAAGAATAGCAGCCTATTTAATTTAGAGATTTTTTGTACTTCTTGGAATAGTAAATATTAGCTTATATAATTTGAAAGAATTAGAAATGTGTGGAGAAGTATTTTTTTCCCTAAGCCATGTAAACACTGCCTTATTAGACCAAAAAAAATTTGTGTTAATCACCCCCATTTTATTAATAGCAGTGGAGTAAAAATTGAAAGGCAGGTAGATGATAAGAGATACTGTAACATTTTTTAAAAGATAAATATTGGGCATTTAAATTTTTTATACTGAAAAACTGAGTAAGTGAGGAAGTTGAAAATATAATCTATTCTATTGGTTAATTTGGTAATGTGAATTAAAAAAACTTAAGTGTTCAATCACATGGTTCCTAATAAACTATGATACATATTTGTGAATATACAGTATTTTGTCACATCTTTGATTCCTCCTTAAATATATTACTCTTTGAGGAAAGTATTTGAATTTGTTTTGCCTTTAACCCCACAGATGGTTATATTTGGTTTCTAATTTTACATAGAAGTAACATCTCTTAATTTTTAAAGAATTTATTTTATTCTATATGATTTGATGGTAGAAGAAATTAAGAATTTTTAATTCTTTGCTATGTGCTAGAATCACGTAGAATTCTAGCTGAGGTCCTTAGAAAAAGACTTATTTAAGGAAATTGTAGCCATGTTACATAAAATTAGAAGTAAATGAATAAAAACATCAATTTTTTCTTATAAGAATTAGATATGAATACTTTAGCATCTATTGAAAGTCTAAAGTGTCACTATGATGTACAGTTATATATAGATGTGGCTTAGTATTCTTATTAGCTGCTTATATTTACTCTGTAGCATATTTATTTTCAAGGTAATAGAAATAAGCTTGAAAAGCACTCCTAGAAAGATAGCCTTACTGATCAGGTGTATCTGTTGCAAAGCTAAAAAAAATTTAGTATGACTGTATCTTTCATTTAAAATAACTACCTATGCTTGACCAAAATAATAGTTATCTACTGGCTTTTTCCCACACTTAATTTAAAAATGAATTATTTTAAATAGAAGCGAGATGTGAGAATGCAGTTTTCTAAGTTTGTATGGGATTTGTCATATAAACATATGCAAAAAGGCAATTAACAACCACAGAAAATCAGTAGAGATCATGAAATTTTGGAAAATTGTATTTTTAACTTACAACCTTACCTGTGAAAGCAACTACCAGACTACTAAACATTCATTTTCTCTTCACCTTTTGGGAATTTGTGATTTCTGTTAAATATGAAAGATTTTGACTTTTTTCAAATGTAATACTTGTGTATATAATAGCATTTAATGATTATGGCTTAGTTATACAATTATAAAGTTCATTTGAAAGCTTAAAATGTAGATATTACTATATATTTTTGATATATAATATTTGCTCACTGTGTTCAGTTAATAGTTTTTCACAGTTATTTGAGAAAATGATCATTCTCCACATTACTCTCGAAAGCACTGTCTTCTGACTTTTTGTTTTGTTTCTTTCCAGGAGGTGGGTGCGCCTGCTGTTTGGACGAGAGTTCCCCCTACAGGACCTTCTGGTAGTCTGGGATGCCTTGTTTGCAGATGGCCTCAGCCTGGGTTTAGTAGATTACATCTTCGTAGCCATGTTACTCTACATCCGAGATGCTTGTAAGTGTTAATGACCTTGCCTACATTTGACTGGGTGCTCCTGATTTTTAAAAATGTTTTGCCTTTTAAATAGACTGGGTGTTTTATTATTTGATTTACATGTACCTCAAGTTTTATAGTAGGGTAATATACTGAAATTTCAAAGGAACATACTAAACATCTCTTTTGTTGGTTAACTGTGTACACACTGGGAGATGTGAGTTATTTTATCCTGAGAGAATTAGAATATTCTTCAGAACCATTTTTCTAAAGACTTTACTTCTGCTTTAATCTCGTTGTTACACACAGTTGTGAAATGCATATGTAAAAGCCAGTATTTGAGATATGTTGAGAGCTCCACCTTCTGACAGGTAGGGAATATTCAAGGATGTTTATCAGGAGAGTGGAGTTATTTTTATAATGTCAACATCTTGCTACTAAAAAAAAACAGTTATTACATTTAAAGGTATTTTAACTTTATCCCACTTATATTTTAGAAAAATATATTTCTCAATATAGTGCTGAATTGTAGATGTGCTCCCATCTCCTCAGATCTATGTTAGGGTTGAATAGCCAGAAAGCCAGTGCCTAGCCCTTTCGAATAGTCTCATAGTTCTTAGCTTGAAGAAAATATCAGTGTGTATTTTATTTTGTTTTATTTTATTTTTTGAGACAGAGTCTTGCTGGCTCTGTCGCCCAGACTAGAGTGCAGTGGTACAATCTCAGCTCACTGCAACCTCCACCTCACGGGTTCATGTGATTCTCCTACCTCAGTCTCCCGAGTAGCTGGGACTACAAGTGTGTACCACTACGCCCCGCTAATTTTTTGTATTTTTAGTAGAGACAGGGTTTCATCATGTTAGCCAGGCTGGTCTTGATCTTCTGACCTTGTGATCTGCCCACCTCAGCCTCCCAAAATGCTGGGATTATACAGGTGTAAGCCACTGTACCCTGCCTCTCAGTATGTATTTTAAATTTCAAAATACCTCATATTGTTTTCCATCTCAGAGAAGTAATCAAAAGTTCACGTAATAAAACTTTTAAGCCAAAATATAATTAGGAAAAATTGCACAAAATTATGTGATTGAATTAGGAAATAGGAAGCTAACATAAAGCAAGACTGTCAGAAGAACATATACTAATTAGAGGCATTTATAATTGTGACTTAAACTGTTATGTGATTCTGTTTATTTGTTCATTGAATACTAGTTGTGCCAGATGCTCTTGTTACGCCTCTGGTAACACTAATTTTCTTGAAAATTTTAGATTATACTTTTTTTTAATTTCCCAAAATTACTTAAATAAGTGACAGGAGCACCACATTTTATCCAAAAATCGTAGATTTTGTTCTATGCCTCGAAGGTCAAATAGTTCAGGTTTTGACAGACAAAGTGAAAGTTTCTTCCTTCTGAGCCAGATCTAATCACTTAAGAACATGGAAGTCATAAGAGGAGACATTGGGAAAGTAGAGAAAAATATCTGAGTAGATTTGATGGATACTGGGTTTTATGATATTCAATACTAATCTCTAAGTTGTATTTTTTAATGTAATTAATAAAAGGAATGAGAAACCTCTTGTAGAAAAAAAAATGCTTTGGATAATATTTTTGCAAAACTTTCCAAATCAAGCAACCACGGAAAAGTATTATGATTTTCTATAAATGTAAACAGTTTACAATTTGCTCTTTTTTAACTTTGGCACATTACTACTATATATTTTTAATTTAATCATCCTGTCTCCTATCTAAGACCTACTTTTATCATTTTATAAAACATGGCAAATTTTTTGGCAGCTGAAGTCCCTACACATTTTTTATCTTTTTACTGATGACTTTATAAAATGTGGAAACATACAGAAGTAATGAAGTTATTTATATGTTTCAATATTTAGTCCAACTTATTTTAATTTTGTTATTTAAGTTTATAACAGTGGACAAGATATCCTAAAAATAGAATGAATATTTGTCAGGTATTTGCAGATCACTGCTCCTGTCCTCAGGAAGCTTACCAACTACTAGGGAAGACTGACATAGATAATTTCAAATGAACATATTTGGTGCTATAGTTGGGATGTGGACAGGTAGTGTGAAACTTAAGGAGAGGCACTAGCTTCCCGCTGGGCTTCTGTGAGTGAATAGAGAAAATTGTGCAGGTGTTGGCAAGCCAAATAAGAGGATCTGCATACTAGGCAGAAGGAACAGCATGAACAAAGGCCTGGAAGTGAAGAATAGTTTATTGGGGATATGTATACCAATGTGTTTCTGCAAGCTGTTTGGTTATTAGAGTACAAAGGGAGAGAGAGACAAGCAGCAGGTTATGAGACTAAAGAAAGAAAAGGAGGGTCATGATGACAATCTTTCTCTGGTAATTGATAGGGAGCTAATGAAATGTCCAAAGCAGAAATGTGATCACTCTTAGGTCAATTCAGCAGCAATGTGGAAGATGGAGTTGAAGGAGACAAGAGCAAGGGCATCAGATAATAGTCATGATGGTAGTTCAGGAGAAAAACAGTGGATCAGAGAACTATTTAGAGCTAAAATTAGCATGATTTAATGATTAAATATGATAAAAGAGGGAGAAATGGAAAGCTAGAAGAATCCCCAGCTTGGAGGTATGAGTGACTGGGTAATATTTATAACTTGGATAGAAAATACAAGTATTAAGAAATTTTAGGAATGTTAATAATTGACTGGGTTTCGACTTTGCTGAGTTTGAGATATTTATAAGAAATTATAAAGTTAAATGTCAGTATCAAGGCTACAGATTTAATTTTGCAAATGACTTACAGGTGTTTGTTAAAACCAAAACCAAAGCTGCCACCTCCAAAGAATAGGGTGACTATATATATATCAAAGATTGTTTGGGATAGTCTTGGTTTACACCTGTTATCCCAGAATAGTAATTAGTTGTCCTTTTTCACTCTCAAAGATATCACATTAGGATCATAAAAATTATATGGTCCTATTACATAAGGTGGGTAGATATGGAAAGAGAACATGGGCAAAGGTGAAACTCTGGCTTTAACATCAGCATTTAAGAGGCACCAGAGGAGAAAAAGCCAAATAAGAGCTTAGCTTCTGTTGTAACCCCAGAGAAGTGTCTGAGCCAAGCAGAGAGAAGAAGGTCAGGGGGTAATACAAGGCTAGAAAAGTCCACTAATGTTTGGCACTGTGGAAGGACAGTCATTGGATACCTCTGCCAGAGTGGATTCAGTGGACTGTTCGAGCAGAAGCTGGATTATGGTGGGTTAAAGAGTGAATAGACAGTTAAGAAGTACAGTAGTCTTTTCTTCAGCTTTTCATTGTTTTGTTGTTGTTTTTAATACATGCATTACTTTTTCAACTGAAAAGATAACTAAATAAAAAAAATATGGAGGTAGCATGTATAGAGTCATCTTTAAATGTCAGCTAAGTAAGGAAGAAAGATACAGCTAGAGAACAGTGTAGGGGTGAGGAAAGTTGGATGGCTGTCTTTAGACATTGGTGGCAGGGCAGAGCTGGTGGAGAGGTTTACTTCTCAAACCAGCCTGAATTTCTACTTCAAGAATCAGCACTAGCTTTCTCCATCCTGTTCCATGGATTAGATCTATGAAAAGCCCAAGCATGGTGCCTCACAACTATAATCCCAGAACTTTGGGAGGGCAGGGCAGGAGAATCGCTTGAGCCTAGGAGTTTGAGACCAGTCTGGGATGCGTAGTGAAGCCCCATTTCCACAAAAAATAAGAATTAGCCGGGTATTAGCTTGTGCCTGTAGTCCCAGCTACTCACAAAGCTTAAGTGGGAGAATCCTTTGAGCCCAGGAGGTCAAGGCTGCAATGAGCCATGATCATGCCACTGCACTCCAGAGTGTGGGTGACAGAGCAAGACCCTGTCTAAAAAAAAAGAGAGATCTATGGATTTATGAAAAGAGAAAATATCTTCTTTGTTTTGAAGCTTTTGCTTCTTTATTGTCTGTTCTTCACACCCACCCCAATCCCTGTTCCCCAGTGAGAGACAGGATTTTGTCTGTCTTGGTTTCCCTCCCATACACCAGCATCCAGAGTTGGTCCCAGGGCACAGTAAACCTCCAGAAAATTATTTTTTTAGTAAAATAATTGAGGAAATAAGGACCTAGAGGCAGAAGAAGATAACTGGGTCTGGAGTCCTGTGGAAGACTGGCTGTGGAACAGGAATGAGAAGCTGGTGCTGATTCAGGAAGAAAGCACTAGAGTACTTTCACAAGTAATCCAGTCCATAGGTGGAGAAGACAGAAAATGGACGAATTCCATAAAGGAGAAAGCGAGATCATCCACTGTGAATGAGGTAGAGTAGGGTTAGTGGTTTGTGGGAAACAACTTGGAGATGTGAGAAAGATAGCTCATCAAGAGCCAAGGAAAGCTGTGTGTAGCTGTCAAAGATCCTACAGAGAGAAGCATTGGGAAGTGGCACAAGGCCTCAAAAAACAAAGTAGATTGTGATCCAGGCTTCCAGTTAGGCCTGCTTCCAAATGAATTAGGCAGGACTGAAGGGAGACAGGAGGGTGGAGAGTGTTGCGTGTATTTTAAAATAGTGGTTTAAGATGTATAAACAGGGAAGCACAGCCAGGGAAAGATTAGGGAAAATCGAATGTGTCAAGGGATTGGGTGAGGTAGGGCATGAGATAGCTAAATGCATACCAAGTTATGGTCAGACATAGAGCAGTTCTAGATCTAATTCATATGGTTGAAGTAGGTGAAGGGGAATTTAAGTCACTTAGAAGACCAAGGGGTTGTGAGGAAATGGGTTTCTGTTTAGTTCTCCATGGACACCACCAAGGATCCTACTAGGAAATGGTATAGAAAGAAATGTGACGAGCCTGGCATCGTAGCCTCAAATAAAAAGAGTGACCAAGAAAACAACTTTTGTTGAACCAGTCAATTATTCAGAGTTAACCATTCAACCAGTATTTACCAATATATGATACATACATGACAGTGATAAAGGGACATGATAGAGGCATAGTGGCATGGCGTGAACTTCAAAGGAAGAGGAGGTTTTATGGAA